TACAAAGTCGGTCTTAATTTTATGGTCCAGGTAATAGGTCCTTATCCCTACAAAGCTGGTCTTAACTTTTGGTCCAGGTAATAGGTCCTTATCACTACGAAGCTGGTCTTAATCTTATGGTCTAGGTAATAGGTCCTTGTCCCTACAAAGCTGGTCTTAAGCTTTTGGTCCAGGTAATAGGTCCTTATTTCTACAAAGCCGGTGTTAATCTTATGGTCTAGGTTATAGGTCCTTATCCCTACAAAGCTGGCCTTAATCTTATGGTCCAGGTAATAGGCCCTTATCCATTCAAAGCTAATTTTATGGTCTAGGAAATAGGTCCTTATCCCTACAATGCTGGTCTTTAACTTCGGGTCCAGGTAATAGGTCCTTATCCCTACAAAGCTGGTGTTAATCTTATGGTCCAAGTAATAGGTCCTTATCCCTACAAAGTCGGTCTTAATTTTATGGTCCAGGTAATAGGTCCTTATCCCTACAAAGCTGGTCTTAACTTTTGGTCCAGGTAATAGGTCCTTATCACTACGAAGCTGGTCTTAATCTTATGGTCTAGGTAATAGGTCCTTGTCCCTACAAAGCTGGTTTTAAGCTTTTGGTCCAGGTAATAGGTCCTTATTTCTACAAAGCCGGTGTTAATCTTATGGTCTAGGTTATAGGTCCTTATCCCTACAAAGCTGGCCTTAATCTTATGGTCCAGGTAATAGGTCCTTATCCCTACAAAGCCGGTCTTAATTTTATGATCCAGGTAATAGGTCCTTATCCCTACAAAGCCAGTCTTAATTTTATGGTCCGGGTAATAGGTCCTTATCCCTACAAAGCTGGTCTTAATCTTATGGTCCAGGTAATAGGCCCTTATCTGTGCAAAGCTGGTCTTAATCTTATGGTCTAGGTAATAGGTCCTTATCCCTACAAACCTGGTCTTAAACTTGGGGTCCAGGTAATAGGTTCTTATCCCTACAAAGCTGATCTTAAGCTTTTGGTGTAGGTTATAGGTCCTTATCTCTACGAAGTTGGTCGTAATCTTATGGTCTAGGTAATAGGTCATTATCCGTGCAAAGCTGGTGTTAATTTTATGGTCTAGGTAATAGGTCCTTATCCCTACAAAGCTGGTCTTAAACTTGGGGCCCAGGTAATAGGTCCTTATCCCTACAAAGCTGATCTTAAGCTTATGGTCTAGGTTATAGGTCCTTATCTCTACGAAGCTGGTCGTAATCTTATGGTCTAGGTAATGGGTCCTTATCCCTACAAAGCTGGTGTTAATTTTATGGTCTAGGTATAGGTCCTTGTCCCTACAAAGCTGGTCTTAAGCTTTTGGTCCAGATAATAAGTCCTTATCCTTACAAAGCTGGTCTTAATCTTATGATCCAGGTAATAGGTCCTTATCCCTACAAAGCTGGTCTTAAACTTGGGGCCCAGGTAATAGGTCCTTATCCCTACAAAGCTGATCTTAAGCTTATGGTTTAGGTTATAGGTCCTTATCTCTACGAAGCTGGTCGTAATCTTATGGTCTAGGTAATAGGTCCTTATCCCTACAAAGCTGGTGTTAATTTTATGGTCTAGGTAATAGGTCCTTGTCCCTACAAAGCTGGTCTTAAGCTTTTAGTCCAGGTAATAGGTCCTTATCCCTACAAAGCTGGTCTTAATCTTATGATCCAGGTAATAGGTCCTTATCCTTACAAAACTGGTCGTAAGCTGTTAGTCCATGTAAGAGACCATTATCCTTCCAAAGATGGTCTCAATCTTATGGTCTAGGAAGAGGTCGTTACTCATTAGTCCCCCCCCATCCCCAGCTGTTCTCAATTTTATGATCCAGGTAAAAAGTCATTATTCCTCCAAAACTGGTCTCAATCTTTTGGCCCAGGTAACATTTTCTCCCCAAACCTGTTCTCAATCTTATGGTCCTAGTAATAAAGACAACATAAATAGTGAAATGTTTTAAGAATTTTTGGCACATAATACTCTAAGATTGGCCGTTTAGGAAAACAAGTCCAAAAGTATTGCATGTGTATCTCTATGATCTGCCGTCTAATTTTTTTTCGTCCAGTTGTACAGCTTTGTAAACGTATATCAGAAGGCAGAAAACAGTTTATTTTGAATGTTTTTAAATTATTAGATATCATAATAACGATGAAAATAAGTATAACAAGATGTGTTTGTGAAACACTGATGCCCCCGTATGGCAGCTTATGGCGAAGGGTAAAGTTTCTTCAAATGCAAGTCAAAATCCAGGCCAAAAGATAAAAAATGTTGATGCCCAAAGAAAGGTCTTGTCTCGAGGAATACACCTGTGAAATTTGAAAGACCTAGATACAACTGTTCAAAAGTTATGGCGAAGGTTAAAGTTTTTTAAATAAAAGTCAAACGTCAAGGTCAATGTCAAAGTGGTTGGTATCCAAAGGAAGATCTTGTCACAAGGATTACACCTGTGAAGTATGAGAGCCCTAGCACCAACCATTCAAAAGTTATGGCCAAGGTTAAAGTTTTTCAAAAGTAGGTCAAACTCCTAGGTCAAGGTCAAAAGGTCAAAGTGGTGGTTGGTATCCAAAGAAAGGTCTTGTTGCAAGGATTACATACGTGAAGTATGAAAGCCCTAGCTGCAACCACTCAAAAGTTATGGCCAAGGTTAAAGTTTTTCAAAAGTAGGTCAAACTCCTAAATCAAGGTCAAAGGGTCAAAGTGGTTGATATCCAGAGGAAGGTCTTGTCACAAGGAATACACATGTGAGGTTTGAAACCCTAAGCACCAACTGTTCAAAGGTTATGGCCAAGGTTAAATTTTTTCAAAAGTAGGTCAAACTCCAAGGTCAAGGTCAAAAGTTCAAATATGATGGTACCCAAAGAAAGGTCTTGTCACAAGGAATACACATGTGAAATATGAAAGTCATAGCTCCAACCAATCAAAAGTTATGGGCAAGGTTAAAGTTGGCAACAGACAGACAGACAAACAGACAGACAAACGGACAAACAGACAAACAGATAAACAGATAAACAGACAGACAGGACAAAAACAATATACCCCCGGGATCTTTCGATCCGGGGGCATAAAAATGTCCGAATAAATGATACTCATTATAATTTGAACTTTTTCATAAGAAAATTTCATAGTTTTAATGAAATTTAAAGATACTGAAATAATTTATCTGACTGTATTATTTTTATGGTATTCGTCATTTGCACAGGAAAGTCATTCTGACTCAGAAAGCATGCATTTTTGGCTAATATTTCCTATAGTTATTTGCAAGTCTATTGATTATTACAAAATGATAAGACATGCTTGAGTCAAGAGGTGTCATGACACACGATGAAAAGGGGGTGGGTGGGGTGAAAGAGGGTGAATGGCATGATGAAAGACAGAAAAGTGACTTTGATATTCCAGAAATATAAGTAGCTGGGACCAAATCACAGCTCAATAACGAGCAAATAAGTCTGACTAGAAAGAAATTCTCTGATGAGAAATTTTGCAACAATATAAAAATGTGTTTGTGTTTGAAGAAAGGGGTGTAACTACACCTACGAAGGCGAATTATAACGTTAAATTTTACTTTTAAAATCACTAAAATTCAAGTTCGGGGTGCTTAGCCCCCTGACCCCCCACAAGGACTTTGCCTTGGACCCACTGGAGGCCTTGAGTCGGTCCCCAGACCCCCTGTCTCTGAAAAAAATTCACACCCCAACCCAAATTCCTGGAACGCGCCTGACGAGTTCATTGAATGTATAAAAAGATACATTCACATCACATCATAAGGTGCTGAGATAGTCTAATCTTACATCACATAATCAAGAACTAACAATGTGTTGGCATAATGTTTAGATAGGATCACAACACGTATCGCCAAATAAAGTGCTGACATAACGGCTTACTAATCACGGTAGAAGAGTTTGGATATGCAGTTATGGCGTTCCGTATTTATTTTACTCCAGTGGCATGTATAAAGAGTAAGTAAACGATACGAAAAATTAATCCATTAACTAGAAGTAAAGTTTATGCAATTAGAGCCGAACGTGAACGAAACTTTTGTTTTATTCATATCTATAAATATTGCATATGGAGTTTCCTATAAAATATATTGTGGAATGGATGTTTTAAAAAAATGAAATTGAATTTTGTTGAGAATCGATATCAGTTTTAATAACTTTACATAGAAAAGCTTTCCCAGACTGTCTCCTGAAAGCTTCGTGTTAAAATTTTGAAATTAAAAAGTACTAATTAACTCTGAATTATATTTATATCCAGCCTAAGATACCTTTCCCTCGCAAGCTTGTGAATTCCACAAGGATTTTTGTAAAGTTCTTCTAGATAACATCAAATAATTTCTCAGGGCTCTGAAATGAACGTTTTGTCGCCGAATGGAATCGATACTAACAGTGTCGCAAGGGTATACTTTACAGTCATTGTATAATTCAAACAACCCTTTTTAATACACATGCAGGGATCATAGACAAGGCAACTAGATTAAAGACATACAAATACATTAAGCTAAACGAGAGTTCATCGTCATTTTGATCAGCAGAGAATGGTCCATTTATGTATATATACATCATTAGATATTGAACAATTCATTAAGTCTGTACTGGCAGACTCAGCTTCAGCGGCGACAAATAAGCTTTTTGATCATACTTAGGAAAAATAATCGATTCCGAATTTTATTTTGACGACATCTGTTATTGCGTAAGTCTGTTTATATAAAAAAAAAAAGTCGTCCACCCTTTCAAATATACATTCAAATTAAATATTAAATATTCATGTAAGAATGCTATTATATCGTTTGTGAGAAGCCCGAATATGGAATCGATTGATTTCATCGTCACCATAAAAGAAACCTCCCAAACACTATCAGGAGCTCTGAACAGTCAGTCAAGCAACAGACAGGATTTGTGTAGAGGCTCGCAGAAAAGGAATTCCTAGCTGTGGAAGAATGTAGAGTTTTTGTTAATGTCATATTTTTCGATGTGAGTTGTTAAATCGATTCACAAGGAGGAAACAAATGAATTGTTAAATAACAAATGCTGACGCAAGGTATTCCAACGTCTGATTCCTCACCGGTCAGACCCAGAACCCCCGCCTTGTCCGAGTTTGTCTGCGGACCATGTAGTTTCAGTCGGATTTATTCGAGAGGGACGTTCTACTGCCCCGTATGTAAGGAGCTCTTTTGTCACAATTGTGCCAAGCTCCATCGAATGAAGGAATGGTCACAAAATCACGCCATAGTACTTCTAGACAAAGCTAATTCAAAGCAGCTAAAGGCTATCGCATCGCAAAAAATTTCAAAATCCGAACGGGAATCGTCACAGCGGCCACAGCGGTGGGGGAGGAGGGCACCACTTAACGAAGGGTTTGAATCCAAGTCCAAATATCTGAACGCCTTGGCCAGTAACCACGATCACGAGACAGAGGACTTGGAGAATGAATTGTACTGTCCGGAGCATGATGTTGTCTTCTGTCTGCGCTGTAAAGACCCCCACTCTGAGTGTAAAGGGACGGTTCCTATTGTTTCATTGGCAAAAAAGATTGAAATCGCTCAAGTTATTTCAAACTACAAGAGATGTGTTAAATTCGCGGATATCATGTTAGAGGATCGACTTGAACAGAAGAAACAGGTCGAATCACAGAGAAGCGAGATAATTCCAAACATTCAGTCTATGAAGAACCATTTTGGTAACATGATAAGTAAAAAGGCTACAGTGATAGAAAATGAAGTTTCTATCAAAATAGAACAAAATATTAAGAAAATTCATCAACATATGGAAAAATGTAAGCGTGTGAAATACATGGCACAGTCTGATCTAGACAGTCTTCTATCTACCGTAGAAAGAGCAGTGCCAGGACCCATTGTTAAAGTGTATCTCCGACTGAAAGTCAAATATTCGGTCTTTGAGAAATATCTTAGAGAGTTATATAACGACACAGAGTACGTATCCTACCAGTTTGTGCCAAATGAAGAGATAATGACTCTACCAAACATCATCTCATCTATTGGAACTCTGAAGGAAACCAAAAGTTCCTCAAAGTTACCTCCCTTTATGTCGGTAGACAATGTCAAACCTTTCAAAGAAAGGTCGCTAACTTATCGTAAAAACGGTGACATTCGGCTGTTTGGACTCGGTGTTCTTGGAAAGGGAGGAATCACATCCATGCGATGTACGGCAAACTATATAATGGCAGTGGCTCGGAGCACGTGCGAGTTTCGCGTGTTCACGTTACGTGGCTGGACCTTTGCCCATTTAACGCTCTCATCACTGCCATGGGATTTTACTATGATATCTGAAAAAGAGGCTATTGTCAGTCTCCCTGGTGATAAGAAATTGGTGACCTTGACCATTGATTTCACACTACGTAGAGTAACACAGACAAGGGAAATTATTCTGGATGAGGCATGTTGGGGATTGACAGAATTTAAGGGAAAGTTGATCGGCACATTCTTGCCTTTTGAATTAGACGCTCATTTAAGGGTCATGACCTATGACGGAACCATGGAGAGAAAAATTGAAATCCAGGATTCTCCAGTGGCGTTTCGAGCACCACAATATGTGTTGTATCATGAGGATAAAGTGTACATTTCGGACAGTTATTCACATGCACTGATTATCATTGACCTAGATGGACACGTAACGTTTGCCTTCAAAGTCGCCGAGTTCGAGAATCCGGCGGGAATGACCGTTGATGATCAGGGGAACGTTTATGTTTGTGGGAAGACGTCACATAACGTTTTCCAGATCTCGAGGGAGGGGGAAATCCGGGAAATTCTATCCCAGGAGGACTGCCCCTCGCGACCTTGCTGTATTGGTCTGCTGGGGGACGGATCCACTTTACTAGTAGGATATTCAAACTCCAACGTGTTAAAATCATTTCAGTTTAAATAATGGATTTTTTTCTTTTACAATATATAAGTACAAGTATTTTGTTACATGTATTTATAAACTGCCACTGGCATTGTGATACTGTGATTACCAGTTGGCATACATAGTTTATTTTTAATGCAATATCGCCGATAGTAAACGCTGAACAATTTTTTGTGTTATTTTTACAGTCTTCTATTGGAATATAAAGAAAAAATAATAATACTGCCCTGTACATTTTCAGGCAAGAGTTTTTTTTTGGGGGGGGGGGTTAAATACTTTAAAAGTATAAACTAATTAGTCAGGATCTTAAAAATGATAAAAGGCAAAGTCCCAATAAATGATGTTAAAAAGTCGATAAACCATTTGTTACTTTTTTTTAAATCTATTTATTTATTTATTTATTTTTCTTCAAATTTTTAAATTTTTTGCCATTTAATTTCCAAATCTTGCCTATTATGATGTAAACTTTAAGTTCCTTCTAGTAAATTCAAGTGATTAAAATGTTGTCTAATCCGGAATGTTGTAAAATCCAGCCAATTTCTATGGAACCAGTAACGTCCGGATTAGACATGTTTCTCCGCTCTGTTTATCCCGCATAATCTGGTAACAACAAGTTGTTCCTAAGACTTAAGAAAGTATCAAATTAATGTATTATTTATCCAATAGTATTATTAACATAGACAATAATTTTATATTTATTTATTTTTTTCTCCACCCCTTTTGTGTAGGAAAGCATGTTAAGCCCCTGTCAACCCTTAATAAAAAATATTTACAATTCCAAATATTTTTCCATAAGATTCTTTGCAAATTAAAAAAGTTCATGTTCTCATGAACTACCGTGGGATGAGTAAGAATATTTCCATTGTGATGTGACTGAAGTCAAAAAATAGTGCAAACTTTTTTTTTCAAACATGATCGTTGAATGACAAAAATATGTGGCAAGTCATCAGAAAAATAATGTAAATATAAGATATGAATTTAATTATTGAGAATTCATGAGGTACATGAACTACAACGCTTCACTCCACGCCTGCATATTTATCATGAAGCGCTAGTTAACACGCTTCATGAAATATGCAGGCGTGAAGCGTCATAGTTCATGTCCTCATGAATTCTCAAAAATTAAATTCATCTCTTAAAAGGTTAAGATATAAGGACAACCTTTTAAAGGTTGCGATGATTTCAATATTTTACCCTTAATGTACGTAAATTACCCATAATGTAAATAAATAAATTACCCTTAGTGTAAGAATCTGATCACACTAAAACAGACAAGTGCACAGTATTCAATTAACGTGAGGTATAGATAGATTGGATATGTAATAAAGCTTGATATATATATATATATAAATATATATATATATATATATATATATATATATATATATATATATATATATATATATATATATATATATATATATATATATATATATAGTCAAATTAAAAATGCACTTAACAGTGTAGAAGTACAAAGCCTGTGCAGGATTAACAAAACCTATTGCAATTAATGCTGATGGCTGCTATTTGGAGCTTTGAAATTTGCATAAAACCGTTTGAACTATAAATAGACTTTCATTAATTTCTCTGATGACGCAAATTGGAAAGCCCATGAGATGGGAAGAAATTATCTTTAGGGGGAAAAAAGTTTCAGAAATTTATTCAAATTATTTTGAAAATCTGTCATTCATTGTCTTTTATCTCCATAGCAACCAACCAACTGTGGTAGATTCCTTTGTTTGATATTAAAATTTGTACATGTATTTACTGACTAGAACACAATTTCTTTAAAACAAACCAAAAAATAAACCAAATTAGAGTTTAGCTCTTACTTAAAGAAACTATTCAATATATTTTATCGAACCTTACAAGCTGATACATACTGGTGAAAACTATTTAACTTCATCAACTTTTTTTGACCTTGACCTTTCCTTTGATCTTGATCTCACTTTTCTTAAAATAGTGTTAAGCTCAGTTTCAAAAAAAAAAAAACTATTCAAGATATCAATTCTATCGTGCTTATACACATTGGTAAGAGCTGTTCGACTGCATCATTGTGTTTTACTTTGATCTTTCCTTCTATCTTGACTTCAAATTTGTGTTTAGCTAAATTTCAAAGAAACTATTCAAGATATTTTTATCAAACGTCAAATACTTATATATATATTGAAGAGAGCTATTCAACTGCATCAGCATTTTTGACCTTGAACTTCACTTTGACCTTAAACTCACTTTTTTAGATTGTGTATTTAGCTCAGTTTCAAAGAAACTATTCAAGATATTTTTTATGTAAGCTTATGCACTGATACATTATTTGGTAAGAATTTATTAATTGTGTCCAATTTGCTTTTTACCTTGACCTTCCCAATGACCTTTGACTTTGCTATTTATTGTGTATAAAACTCAGTTTTAAAAAATATTCAGGATATTTTCATCAAACTCCATACACTAATACAAATTTTCATGTTTCATTACTAATGAATTTGAGCGGGGCATTTGTCCTATGCACATATTTCTAGTTTTTTGTTTTTGTTTGTTTGGTTGGTTGGTTTTTGTTTTGTTTGATTTTGTTTTGAACTCATTCACTTTTATATCTAGTACTGTACACGAACTCCATTCGTTTTGTGAACTGCTGACTTTAAAGGTGCTTGGACACAGATTTGAAGTTAATATTTTCTCAAATTTTCTGTAAAATTTCAAGACTTATATGTTGCTATAGCATTTCATACTAAAAAAGAATAAAAATCTTATTTCATCTCGTAGTTATTGAAACTTCAAATTTCTGAACGCGTTTGATTGACACATCCTTGCACTTTCACAAATTTTAATTTTATTCTTAATACTTAAGAAAAGTGGCAATTTTGTTGTGTATTCATGAAAAATATTTAAACTATAATCCAGAAAATTCAGAGTAGAAATGTTCGAAAGCAAAACCCACTCACAGTATTGTCAGTTCGTGCTCAGTGGTGTGTGCAGACTTTAACAATTGAACACACCCGGTGAATCGTAAACATTAACAATAGCAGAGCTCGTGCCCTGTTTACAAAAACAGTTTACGTTTCACGGGTGTATTCAATTTGTTAAACTCTGTACACAACACTGAGCACGGGCTGACGATATTAGTGAGAGGATTTGCTTTCGCACATTTCTACTCTGAATTTTCTGGATTATAGATGCAATGTTTTTCATTAATATACATACATCAAAATCGCTTCTTTTCTTAAATGTTAGGGATAAAGATAAAATTTGTGAAAGTGCAAGGATGTGTAAATCAAACGCGTCCAGGAATTCGTAGTTCCAATAATTTCAAGATAAAATAAGTTTTTAATTATATTTTCGTGTGAAATGCTATTGCAATATATAAGTCGTGATATTATACAGAAAATTTGAGAAAATATTAACTTCAAATCTGTGTCTAAGCACCTTTAAACTAGACTATTGAAAGCCCTGTAACATCAACTAGATATAAACTAAGCTTCAAGGGCAGAATGGGACTGTTAATAAATCATGGATTTACTTTAACAATTTATTGCTCTCTTGTAATCCTGTAAATTATATTCACGCCAGGTATAAATGATGATTTATCAAGGTTAGAATAGCACTATTAATAAATCATGGATTTACTTTAACTATTTATGGCTCTCATTATTTCACGCCAATTATAAATGATGTCCTTGACGTACTGACGAGGGAAACTCTAAAATGAGGAATCCTCCCTTTGGGAACTCAATACACATTAAAATTAAACATTAATAATCCTAGACCAATCACAGACATGAAATATGAAATATGGCGATCACGAACAGTATTCAAGCTCAAAGTCCATTTAAACAATACAAATCGGGAGCAGAGCAAACATGGACCTCCAAAATCATCAGAGGGGGATCAGGTGCCATTGAGGAGCGAGCATCCCCTGCCGACCGGTCACACCCGCCGTGTGCTCCTTGTCATGAATGGGAAAACGGAAAAATCCGTAGGCAATTAAGTGTGTTAGTAATGGCCTAACATTAGTATGAAAAAAGGTCAGTCAGCATTTGACTTAAGATGGGTTGTATTTGCTGACAAGGTCATTCTATCGACCATAAAACTTGTAAAACGATGACTTCAGACGAGATTGTTGATATCCTTGTTTCATCAACTTGTTTGTCAATAACTTGCCTCGTTTTAGAAATTGTTCATACGTAGAGCTTGCTCTTGCCTATCGAATCAACTGGGAGACAAAAACCCCATGTGCAGGTGATAAGGGTATATTGCTATAGAAGTAAGGAAAGTTGACGATTGAAAAATTGAAGTCATCAAGTTTGTCATAAAGCTTTGTAGTTAGGTTACTATTAAAGTCTTTTTTCAAGTAAAATATCCAAATATGAAACAGATGTGTCAGACTCTGTGGTATCTTTTATTTCAAGCTCACTGGGATATATCGAGTCGACAAATGAATGGAAGTAACTATTGTTAATTGATAATACGTCGTCGATATATCTAAATGTCGAGTTGAAGGCCACGACAAGTGTTTTCTTCTTCTCATGTAGAAGTTTTTTTAAAAATAAATTCTGCTTCATATGAATACAAAAATAGGTCTGTTAACAAGGGGGCGCAATTGGTACCAATTGGAATTCCAGCAGATTGTTGAAAGATCTGATCTCCAAAAACTACATAGATCGTCGATCAGAAACTCAAGCATCTTTTCAATATCAGAGTACTTGTGTGTACAATCAGAATGCTTTTTAACGAAATAATTTTGCAAATGACCAATGAAAAGTAAGTATATTTACGAGTTCCATTTTTATTGAAAAAGCAGCTGTCAGTGATGTCAAAAAGCCTGGACTTTAATTTATTGTGGGGAATGGTTGTATAATGTGTTGAAAAGTTGTACGTTTTGATGTTATTGATTTTGTTAAAATTTTTTGATTTCAAATTTTCTAAAAATTCCTTGGAGTTTTTAAGTATCCACATCTGATTTACACCACTTCTCGAATATACTGTTGCACAGTACTCTTGAAGTTTCTCCTTCAATGCTGTAA